TCCGCTTCCGGAATGTTCCCGCCTGCCAGAGCAGCCCCCTGCCATGACCAGTCAGAGCGTCCTGGCCCCCGGCCCCACGAGGCCACTTCCTGTCCGTGGACCCCACCCGGCTGACCCTCAGTGTCCCCCCCTGTGCCTCCTGTCCTCGGGGAACACCCACTGGGCAGCAGGAGTCCTTGTTCGGGGCTGTGTAGTACTCCCTGGTGAGGTCACAACGCCCTAGATCCTAGCCCCAGGCCCCACGAGGCCACTCCCTGTCCGTGGACCCCACCCGGCTGACCCTCAGCGTCCGCTTCTCCCCCTGGGCCTGGTGTCCTTGGGGACCACCCATGGGCCAGCGGGCACCCTTGTTCGGGGCTGTGTAGTACTCCCTGGCGGGGTCAGAGCAACCTGGCCCCCAGCCCCCGGCAGCACGAGGCCACTCCCTGTCCGTGGACCCCACCCGGCTGACCCTCAGTGTCTCCCTGGGCCTCCTGTCCTCGGGGAACACCCACTAGGCAGCAGGAGTCCTTGTTCGGGGCTGTGTAGTACTCCCTGGTGAGGTCACAACGCCCTAGACCCTAGCCCCAGGCCCCACGAGGCCACTCCCTCTTCGTGGACCCCACCCGGCTGACCCTCAGTGTCTCCCCCTGGGCCTCCTGTCCTCGGGGAACACCCATGGGGCAGCAGGAGTCCTTGTTCGGGGCTTTGTAGTACTCCCTGGTGGGGTCAGAGTGTCCTGGCCTCCAGCCCCCGGCACCATGAGGCCACTCCCTGTCCGTGGACCCCACCCGGCTGACCCCTCAGTGTCCGCTTCTCCCCCTGGACCACCCATGGGGCAGCGGGCGCCCTTGTTCAGAGCTGTGTAGTACTCCCTGGAGGGGTCAGAGTGCCCTGGCCCCCAGCCCCACGAGGCCACTCCCTGTCCATGGACCCCACCCAGCTGACCCTCAGTGTCCGCTCCTCCCCCTGGACCACCCATGGGGCAGCGGCGCCCTTGTTCGGGGCTGTGTGGTACTCCCTGGAGGGGTCAGAGTGTCCTGGCCCCCAGCCCCCGGCACCACGAGGCCACTCCCTGTCCGTGGACCCCAGCCGGCTGACCCCTCAGTGTCCGCTCCTCCCCCTGGACCACCCATGGGGCAGCGGCGCCCTTGTTCGGGGCTGTGTAGTACTCCCTGGCGGGGTCAGAGTGTCCTGGCTCCCAGCCCCCGGCACCACGAGGCCACTCCCTGTCCGTGGACCCCACCCGGCTGACCCTCAGTGTCCGCTCCTCCCCCTGGACCACCCATGGGGCAGCGGCGCCCTTGTTCGGGGCTGTGTGGTACTCTGGCGTGGGCACACCAGTCTGTGTGTCCATCCATCTGCTGGTGCCCACCTCGGTCTCTCAGTTCCGGCTGCTGAGCACTGGGCTGCTCTGGGCTGCAGATTTTAAAGTTTTTATGGGGGTGACCTTGTCTCGGGGCCCTCCACGGACCTCAGGGGTGCAACGGGGCGGTTTTTGGGCCTCGTGAGGTTCACTCCTGGCACGTCGCGTCCGCCCTCTGCCAGTCACTGGAACTGCACCCACGTCACCACTGCCCCAGCACGTCGGCCCCCAGGCGGAGATCTGGGGCTTGTCCCGTGTCCCCGGCTCGCCCCTGGGGTCCCCATGTCTGTGCCTGTAGGTCTGTTCTGCTCACTGAGCTTCTGCCTTGGGGTGCTGGACGCTCCGGGTTTCCTCCTTGGCGGGCTCACCCCTAGCCCAGGGGTACCCCCAAGGGTGCCCCGCCAGTGGGTGTTTTGCAGATGGGGGGGC